TCCTAAGCCGGGGGTGGGGGTGGGGGTGGGGGTGGGACAAGTGGTTCACCTTCAAGGAGTTGCGCACATCCCTTCCCCACCCAGACGTAATCACGGGGCCACACCTTGCTGCCAGGGGGACGGAGAGCTGTGCCCTTCAGCCCGCGGAGCTGCCTGGCTGCACGCTCGGAGCTTGGTTGTTAAAGGAAGATGTGGGGGGTGACTGCTGAGGGGCCATCGGCAGCATCCCCTGGAGTGACCAAGTCCGGTGTCTGCAAGAACGCACGGTCCCTGGACTTCAGAAAGTGGATTAACATTCACTGCATCTCCATAGATACAGAAGGAAAAAGCATTCCGTGAAATTAAACACTTAAGAGAAAAACAAAACAAACTGTTGTTACCAAGAATAGCAGGGAAACTTCTCTCACGGAGGATGATGTCTGCCAGAGCCTCCAGCATGCTCCGTGGTGAGACACAGAAGCATTCTTTCTAAAACTGGAAATAAGACCAAGCGCCCGCATCGCTGATGCTATTCAATGCGGCAGTAAAGGCTCCAGACAGCCCAAGGAATTAATATTATAAAAACCGGGGAGGAAGAACTAAAACTGTCATTTTCTACAAATGATAACACTGTCTCCAAAGACAGTCCTGGGCTTGTTAGTAGCAAAACCTCTAGATGAGAATTCCCACCCAGGTGGCCTTATACGTCAGTCCAATATGCAAAATTTGACATTTTCCCCCCATGGAAGAAACCAACAGAAAATGCAATTTTAAAAAAGCATTCATAACGATGATACTGAACTCAGCATCAAGCACCAAGGAATAAATCGTATGAAAAATGTGCATGACCTTCCCGGGGGATTCTAAAATTTATTGAAAGATATAAAAAAGAAACGGAACACGTTCATGGGTAAGAACACTGAGTTGACAAAGATGTCAATTCTCCCTGAATTCCTCTGCAAATGGAACAGAATTCTAATTAGAATCCTGGCATAGCTTTTCTTGGAACTTGATGAACTTATTCTGAAATTTATGTGGACGAGCAAATGGTCAGTGAAAAGGAACAATTCTGGAAAAGTTCGGGAGGAGAATTTGCCCTGCGGGAGAGAGAGACCTGCCACAGAATTTCGGTGACCAAGCAGTGTTTTGCTGGGGGACAGATAGACCAATAGACAGAGAAGCTGGGACTAGACGCCCAGAGCTCGCCGGGTGAGGCAGGCGAAGCTTTGCCGTAGACGGAGCTGGACACGCGGTCGCGGAGGGGACTAAGCTGACTCCACCTCTCACAAAATGGAAGAATTGCATATCTCACCACACCCGAAAATTCATCCCAACTGTATGAAGACCGGAATATCCAAAACCAGGCTGTAAAAGCTTTATTTTTATTTATTAAAAAACTTTTTTTTCCTTTATTGATTTGAGAGAGAGAGGAAGGGAGAGGGAGAGAGAGGTAGAAACATCGATGAGAGAGAACATCGATTGGCCGCCTCCTGCATGCCCCCCACTGGGGATCAGGTTCACAACCTGGGCATGTGCCCTGACCGGGAATTGAACCGGTGACCTCTTGGTGCCTGGGTCGACGCTCAGCCACTGAGCCACACCGGCCGGACTAAGCTGTAAAAGCTTTAGAAGAAATGCAGGGGAACATTTTTATGGACTTGGGGGCTGGGAAGGACTGCTACGTGAGCGAGACTCACCCCCAAAGCACACGTCACTAGAGAAGGAATTAGACTACATTCAAATAAAAATTCTGTTTATGGAAAGTCACCACTGATCGAAAGATCCCAAAGGCTGAAAAAAGATTTGCAGCGCGTACAAGTTAGGGTTGGAAGTCAGAAAAGGGAAGAGCCTCTCCGAACAAATAAGAGAATAGAGAAAGGGACGATGTGGGGAACAGGAAACCCAAATGCCCAATAAATACTGGCAAAGATTCTCAACATCACTGGGAGTAAGTTAATGGAAATTCAAACCAATGAGATGCCATCTGACACCCATGAGGTTGGCAAAAGTGGAAAGCCATACAAGACCAAGTGTGGGTGAGAGTGTGGACCAGGGGGTGAAATGCACGTGCCCACAGCTCTGCCCCCCCCCCCCTTTCTAGAGAAACCTCACACGCCAGAGCCAGGAGGCCACAGACATTCACAGCAAAACTGTTTGCAAAGCAAAGACACAAGCCTCCTCCATCCCCGTTAAGAGGAGATCACACAGATACATTCTGATACATCCATGTCATGGAATATTACTCCCCAGAAAAAATCGCTAAACTAGGGGTGTAAGTTAAACGTTCATCAGCACATTGCTGGGTGGAGGTTGTGTCTCCTAAATCCCAAGGCCTGGGGTGGGGAGGAGGGAGCTGACTGACCTGTGTGGCCCCAGGACAAGGGTTAGGACCTCTGCTGGGACAAGCTAGGAAGGCAGATTTGAGCTGAAATGAGGAAGGGTTTTCTAACAGGTCCAGCTGCCCAAGGATAAAAGGGACTATCTTCTAAGGTAATGAGTTTCCTGTCATGGGAGGTATGTAAGCAAGGCCTGGGCAGCTGCCTCATGGGCAGTGAACCAAGCATTGGATATCCATGGTGCCAGGGTGGGGTTGGCTAAAGTTGGCCTTTATGGTCCCTCTACGCATGCCCAGAGGCCCCGTGGTTCTGTGATTCAGCGAGTTTGCTACATGTGCTTGGACGAATAACCAAGCTGCGACATCCCTGCGATGGGACACCGCTCACTACTGAAAAGGGGTGGACCCGGCACGTGTAACAACATGAATGAATCTCAGAAACACATCGGAAGAAGCCACGTGCAAGAGGCCACACACTGTGTGACTCCATTGTATGAAATTCTAGAAAATGCCAAGCAATTTATAGTGGCAGAAAGCAGATCAGAGCTGTGTGCGGTGGGGCAGGGCGATGGGCTGTCTGGGGCACGAGGAACCTTTCCTTGGTTTCCTGATGTTCTGTATCTTGGCTGTGGTGGACGTTTCATGGGTACACGTACCGACCCGATGAATGGAATTGTACAACCCTATTCTTCCGTGTTCTGTACCCACTGCAGTCCCGAGCCCAGAGCTAGGTATGCAGGTGGTGCATAATTGATGCGCAGAATGAAAGGGGGTTGGACAGCCCTAACTCAGGGAGGGAGACTCTTGGCGTGGGCTGTCTGGGAGAGGCAGCTTTCTCAGGATGGAGGGCAGACCCAACTTTAGGGCCGCTCGGCCACCCGTGTTGGGGCAGGTTGTTCTCCGTGTCAGGGAGCCCCACCCTGGGGTCAAGTCCAGTCCACATTCCCCTTCCAAGTCACAGCCATACTTGTTGGCTGAGACTTCCCAAAGAGGTGTGGCATTCCCTTTGCTCTCTCTCTCTCTCCTTTTAATAAACATCTTATTTTGGAACAAGTTTAAATTTGTAGAAAAGTTGCTCAGATAGTGAGAATTCACACGTATCTTCCACCCAGTTCCCCTGATGTTAAATGAACCTCGTTCTAGAACCTGCTGCGTTTGTCAGAACTCAGAAACTCACGGTCGGACCGTACTGTTAATACATTTCGATTTGTTTGGGGTTTTACTACTTCCCCCCTCGCAGACCTGTTTTCCTGTTCTAGGATCCAATCCAGGACACCACGCTGCATTTAGTACACTGTTATTATTATTATCGTTGTTTTTAGAGGAACACAGAGGTTGCCCTATAGCAGTGGCTGGGAGAAGAACGTGGGCATGGGGGGGTACCCACAATAAAGGCCGCGGGTGGCCTGGGAGGGAGGGCCCCCGGGCTGGGCCCAGGGGACACTGGGCCTTCCTGACCTGGGCTGGGTGCGCTGGAGAGCTCACAGGCTGGGCTCCCTGCGCACAGCGCGGAGCAGACAGGGAAGTGCCCTGGCTGGTGTCGTCACGGACTGGCCAGGTGGAGGAGCAGCCTTGTGGCAGCTGCATTTCCCTTTTTGCAAAAGCCATTTGTGCCAATCCTGTGGCTTGTGTGGATAGTTCTGGAAGGGTTCAGCCTCCGGGCACCTGGGGGAATCCTGTGCCTAGCTCCCAGGGTGGGGGTGGGGAGGGATGCAGGTCATCCAGCAGACCCTGAGCTCCGCACTCTCCTGCTGTTTCCAGATTTGTCCCGAGTGGGTCCAGGGTGGGGGTCCAGTGACTGCCCATCTCTTCACCCCTTGTCCTGGAGCTGGAAGGGAGCTGGGCGTGGGGACCCGTGGCAATGAAGTGTAAGGACTAGGTGGACTTGGAGCCCAGCAGCTGCAGAACTCAGGCTTTGTCGCCCAAGGCAGTGGCTGGGGTACCACCTGACTTCTCAGACCCTCCGTTTCTGCATCTCTAAAATGGGCCACGGATCTTTCCATGGGGCTGCCTCCAGCTCAGGGCCTGCGTGGCTTGGGGTGCTGCCTACCATGTCCCTTCTAGTCCCCTTCTCCATGAGCAGACCCTCACCCCTTCCTGCCTCGTCACCTCCTGTATCTGCCATCCTTCCACGCTCAGGGGCTCCCACGTGGGCCTCTGTTTGGGGGGAAGCTCTGTGCCTTGCTCCTGCACCCCTCACCCAAAGCACCTTCTCTCCAACACCACCTTTCACGTGCCGGCCTGGTGCCACCTCGCAGGCCCCAGCTCTCTGCTGTGCAACTCAGGTCCCCTCCCTGTCGATCCCCTGTGGCCCCATCACTTCCTGCCTTGACGGACTACCGCTGTGCCCCTTGCACCCTGGACTCACCGGTGCCCGATGCTGTGCCTGGCACACAGACGGTGCTCATTCAGTGCTTACTGCTTGGAGTGAGGTGAACTGAATTCTCGGAAACCTCAAGCCCACAGAGAACAGTTCTGGTTCTGGCCCTGCCCATGGAAGCGTGTCCCCAGCTGAGAGGGTCCCTAGGTCTCTAGCTGGTGCCCCAGAGCAGGGATGGCGGTGGGGGTGGCCAGGGCCCAGCCCAGCACCGAGGCCCCCCAGCTGTTGGGCCAGACCGCATGCTCCGCCCCCTGCAAACGGCTGTGGGGGCAGCTTGGGCAAGTTCCCCTTCCGCTTCCTCCTGCCTCCTGTCGCTGCTGCTCCGCCGGGGCGCCCCGCCAGGCTCTCCACACCCCTGGTGCCGAAGCCACTCTCCACCGTCACTGCCGCCGCCCTCGGCCCGACAGGATGCAGGCTATCAAATGCGTGGTGGTGGGAGATGGGTAGGTACCTGGCTGAGCCTCTCGGCCTCTGCCCGGAGCCCTGAGACCCTCCTGCACAGGTGTCCCTGAGGAAGCCCCCTTACTCGTAGGAGTCCCTGGGAGGCAGCCAGGAGGAACTGTCCCTTCTCCCAGGAACCAGAGGGAGCCCCGGGGTGGGCTGCGGACAGCCTCGCTCTCTCTGTCCCCCTCACGCTGGGAGCTTCCTGGATGGAGGGTGTAGGACTGCTGGTGAGGTGCCTGGGGCCCCTCGCCTGTGCTGAAGGTGCTGGGGCAGGTCTCCCATGGGACCTCAGTCTTCAGCGTGGGGCGCCTGTGGGGGAGGGGGAGCCAACAATCTGGCCTTGGTGCCCAGGCTGACCTGGGCTCTAGTCGCTGGCTTATGCTGCCGTGTGGCCTTGGGGAAGTCCAGTGCCCCTCTGAACCTCAGCCGGCCACCTGGGAACTCCCACCGGAACTGAGGGGGGTCACCTCGGGCATTAGGAGTGGTTGTCCTGTGCACAGTACGAGCTCCCCTCCCCCGCGCTGCCTCGCTGGGGAGGATGTGGGGAGGTGGCTGAAAGCCGAGGTGGGGACATGAGGCAGAGCTGGGGAAGCAGAAGGGACGAAGAGAGGGGTGGTGGGGGTCAGTTTGGGGCTGCCAGACCTCAGTGACCTCCGGCTGTCATGCCCTCCTGCGGGCCTCACTCTCCTCCGCTGTGAGCTGACAGGTCCAAATGCCAATCTCTCACGGTGCCTCCCAGCAAGAGTGTCTCGGGGTCCAGTCCACGGGTCCATCCTGGGGTTTCCGCAGGCCCAGCCCAGCCCAGCCCACTCCAGCTGGGTAGGCCTCCTGTCCAGCTCTCCTGTTCCCCAGGGGGGCAGCCTGAGCCTCCAGAGATAGCTCTTCCCCGGCCTGGGTCCCCGAGGCCCCGGCTGCCTTCACTCTGATGGGTCGAGGGGGCGGGCCAGTGGGTGAGGCTGCCCTCAGCTGATTCTGATGCACTCTGGCCATTATCGTCCTGCTGCCCACTTCTGCTTTGTATCTGATCTGAGCGGGGCAGGGCGGAAGCCAAGGGCAACGTTCAGTCATTCAAAGTTACCTTTGCTGCCAGGCCCAGGGAGGGCGGGGTGGGGAGGACGGGGCAGCTAGCCCCTTAGAACGGAGGAAGTGACAAAACAGGGGAGCAAGGGGGAGGGCCAGGGCTGCCCCTTTGGCCTCCACCTGGGTCCCCTCCCAGCCCAGCAGGCTGGGGGAAACAGTGTGGATAAAGGGCGATCACTCTTTTTTTTAAAAAAAAATGTTTTGAGAGAGAGAGAGGAAGGGAGAGAGAGATAGAAACATCAATGTGAGAGCAACACACTGATCAGCTGCCTCCTGCACGCCCCCCAGTGGGCACGTGCCCTGAGCAGGAATCCAACCACTCAGTCCACGGACAACGCTCAGTCTCCTGAGCCGCACTGGCTGGGCGAGGGGACCACTCTTTATTTAGCACTTACTGTGCGCCCGGCCCGGGGCTTAGTCACAGATCTGGTTCATCCCCTCACCAGCCCTCGTATTAGGCCCATTTGACAGCTGGGAGAACGGAAGCCCAAAGACATGAAATAGTTCGCCCAAGACCTTCTGGGGTCTGAACCCCGGTCCCTCTGACTGCAGCACGCTGAGTCTTCACTGCTGTGCAGGGCGGGGGCGGGGCGGCTCCCCAACAGCTGCTGGCTGCCCCGCGCCCTGCACTGGGCTTGGTTTACTATGGGCTTCGTCTAATTTACCTTTTAGCACCCTCCTCTGAGGAGGGACTCATCTCATCCTTGTTTCTCGATGGGGAAACTGAGGCACAGAGAGACTAACGGACTTGCCCAAGTTTGTGCCACTGGCAGGTGCCAGCCCAGGTGTGTGATGGCAGAGCCCTCCCCGACAAGCACTGGGGGCCTGCAGCATTGTCCACTTCAGGGGTGTCTCGGGCACCCCCTGCTTCCAGCCCTCTGTCCCACATCAGTGTCACCTGGGAAAGCCTTTTCAAAACACACATCCCCAGTTCTGCCCACAGCCATGGTGAGAATCTCTGGGACAGAAGTCTGCCCGTTGACAAGCACCCCAGATGACTCCGTGGCTCTCGGGCGTGAGGACCCTGAGCCGGGAACCCTCAGACGGGGAACTGAGGCCCAGAGGGTGGGTGAGGGGACCGGTCAGGGCCTGTGACTGACGCCCTCTGGAACTTCTTGTCTTTCAGAGCCGTGGGAAAGACCTGCCTTCTCATCAGCTACACCACCAATGCCTTCCCGGGAGAGTACATCCCCACCGTGTGAGTCTCGCGTGGGCGGCGGGCGCATGGAGGCTGGGGAGACACGCATCACCAAGCCCACTCCCACTCGGGCACTTCTGTGTGCCGGCCATGTGTGGGCACGTGGGGGCTGAGCAACTGGCATAGCTGCCTGGTGATCTGGGGAGGCAGCCCCCACGGTGGAGGAGGGCGACAGGGCGGGGGAAGGACGAGGTCCTCAAGGGCTTGGATGACAAGGAGCAGAGATACCAGAACACACGTGTGTGCTGGGGAGAGGGGAGTGCCATCTGGAGGCCAATCAGAGTCCTGTCCTCTTGTTGGATGTGGAGTCAGGGTTGTCACTCGACATGTATGTAATGAAGTGTGGGTGTCAGACTCAGGAGGGAAGGATAAGTCCCCTCTGCCCCCAGTGGCCCCATCACTCACAGGATGACTTCCCAAGTCTGCAGCAGGGCATTGAAGGCTCTGCCTGGTCTTCCATCAACCTTCCTTCCCCGCTCCCGGGCCCCTTCGCTTCACCAAACTCTCCCCAGCATTTCCACCTCAGGGCCTTGGCTCAAGCTGCTCCCTCTGCTGGAGGACCTGTCCTGCGTGTGTCCACTTCTAAGATGCGAGGCCCACCTCTGGGGCTCCCTGCTCCAGGAAGCCTTGCTGAGCTAGCCAGAAGGGGTCTCCCACTCCCCAGAATAACTTTATTTGCCTTCTAACCATGAGCCTGTGGAGTGCAGGGACCCTCGCCCACTGCCCGAGCAGTGCCTGTGCCCAGTGTAATCTGTGTCTCACACGGGAGGCGTGTTGACCTGAACTGAACTTCGTGGGGAGACCAGGAGGACTGATCACAGACAGCTACCAGATTTGAGGGTCTGCTGTGTACTGGCCCCCACAAAATGTCACACATGTGTGACCTCATTGGATCCTACCGGGAGCTGGGTATTATGACACCACCCCACCCAGGGAGGACGCGGAGGCTCACGACCACGCAGGGGCTGCCCCAGGCTCTCCGGTGCCCTGATCCCTCTACCGACACTTCTCCCCTGCACTCTGAGCTGGCCCAGCCAGCAGGAAGGCAGGCAGCCAGGACAGGACAGGGGCACCTGGCTAGGGAGCCTGGGAACCCAATAACTGCCCGCTGGGTCCCCAGCTCCCCATACACCTTGGCGCCGCCACACACCTCTCTCGGCCCTTGCCCTGTGTGCCCATCCACCATCGATCACCCACCGTGGACCAGCACCTCCTGCTGCAGGGGGAGGGCTGGCTCTAGATCTGAGTAGTGCAGCAGGTGTGTCATCAGACTAAGCAGCTCCTGCAGAGGGTCACTGTCACCGGGTTGTTGCCTGGGCGCCTCCCCCGTACGGGGGATGGAAGGCGTGTTCTCCGCTGCAGGACGGCGGGGCCAGTGGTCAGCTGCTCTCAGCAACTTGCGGAGACTGGCCCCTGGTGGACTTGCTGGTCCTGGACAACCTTGCAGAAGGGCAGCCGGAGTGGACCAGACAAGGTCCGGCCTCCCGGGACTCGAGGAGTTGGGTCGGAGGCTCGGGCAGACTTCACAGAGCCGTGTGCGCCGCTGCACGGACCCCAGGGCCTGCACTTGGTTTGATGCTCTCATCCCCGTCTCGAAATCCTTAATTTTTGAATAAGGAGTCCTGTGTTTTCATTTTGCATTGGATCCTGCAAAGTACCTGACCAGTCCTGCCTGCCACCTTCTTCTGTCTTCTGGTGCAGAGTCTGCTAGGATCCCTGCGCGGCTGTGGCCGGGACCTTGTGGAGCCCTTGACAGTGAGGGGCGGGGGCACGGGGGAGCATGGAGTTGGGGAAACAGGCAGCCCGGGATCTCTGGCACAGAGATGAAGGTCAGAGAGCTTCTGGGGCTGGGGACGGTAGGGTTTGCTGGGGACAGGGAGGCACGTGCTCCGGGCACAGATCAGGAAAACGAAGAGCCCAGCTCAGCTTGCTACCAGCAGCCGGGGGCTAACAGCTCAGGGCCAGGCCCCCATTTCACAGATGGGGGGACAAGAGCCTGCTCGGTGCTGGGGATACAAAGACATGGCAGGAAGACCCTGCCCTCAGTGCCTGTGGCAGAGGGGGTCCCCCTTTCCACCACGCCCCCTTATAGCCATCCTCAGCTGGAAGCCCTGTGAGCTTTCCCCGGGGAGTGGAGCCAGGGGCTCACATCGCTTCAGGATTCCCCCTGACAGCGAAAGCTCCTCTCGTATCCCGGCCTTGAAAGCCCTGAGTGCCGCCCCCAGACACGCCCACTCCCACAAGCCTCTGCCCTCTCCCCTTCCCATCCTTCGGTTCCTGGCTCAGGAATGACCTCCCTGACCCCCTGTCTAGTGTGGTCCCTGCCTCCCCCGGGCCCCCTCCATCCTACCACCCTGCTTGACGTTCTTCACAGCCTGTCCCGATCTGATGGCCCCTGCGGGACTGAAGCTCTGGGAGGCAGGGCCCTGCCCTCATCTGCTCCACCAGCTTCCAGAGCAGAGCCGAGAACGTTGCAGGCAGGTCACGGTCAGCCTGCCCCGAGGAGGAGCTGGAATCGGCACCTTTCACCTGCCCCCTTTCCTCCTCCAGTCCAGGGCCCCCCGAAAGAGGCTGCAGAGTCTGGGTGAAAATGCCGCAGCTCCGTGACCTGGGGCAGGTAGCCCCCGGGCTCTGACTCAGTTTCCTCGCTGAGAACGGGGACAATGGTAGACTCCACTCCCTGGGCCCCCGGGAATGATCTAAGTCCGACGGGCCTGAACAGCACTTGGCACTCCTGGGTGCCCAGCAAATGTGAGCTCCCTGCCCTCCCAGAATTTGGAGTGGGCCCCCTTGCCCCAGCGCAAAGTCCGCTGAGTCCCAGCCGTGCAGTTGCAGCGATGTTTCCTTACCGCACCGGCTCTGAATTGGGTAACAGGGTCTAGCCGGGCTCTGCCACCAACTGACTGACATCGTGGGCAAGTCCCTTCCTGCTGTGAGCCCCATGTCCTCATCTGGAAATGGGGCACAGTGGGAAGGTGAGGTCCTCTCGTCCAGACTGCCTGTGGGTCTCTGAAGTAAGCCCCCCCCCCCCGGGAGCTGCAGGTCACTGCCGAGTCCCCACAGCAATCCCCCGGCTCGGACAGCTGATCCTTCGGAGAGGGGCCAGCGGAGGGGTACGTAGGGACATTGATCAGAAGATTACTCAGCTTCTCAGCATCTCCCCCTGGGGTGGCTTCAATGTCTTCTTCTCTGGATCCTCCTGGTGGTCCCAAGTGAGGCTCAGAAAAGCTAGGTCACTCACCCAGGGTCACACAGCCAGGACAAGGCTTCACAGGGAGCTCTGTTCCCTCCCAACTCCGGGCGCTGTCCCCGGCTCACTAACGGATGTCATGGAAGAGGCAGAGTTCAAATCCCAGCTCCTCTGCTAACCAGCTGGCTGGTTTGGGGAAAGTTACTTAACCCCTTGGGGCCTCGATTTCCTCATCTGTCTAATGGGAGTAACTCGAGGTCCTTTTGTCTTGGTGACGTGGGACTTCAAGACCTATCGGATGAAGGCCCCTAGCCCTCTGCTCGGCCCCAGCGCAGGTGCTCGGTGCTGCTACAGACCCTAGGATGCAGCGTTTCCTCATGGCCACAGCCCCTGCGACCCTGGGGGCGGCCTGGAGACACCTTTGGCTTATGAATTTCAGGAGGCTTTGGAGCACCAGAGTTTCAGACTGGACATGAGAGGAGAGAGTGTCCCAACCCCCTAAGCTTTATCGTAAAGGAGTGTTTCTGGCGAAGCCAAAACAACACAGACAAGTCTCTTCCCACCATGCCCGGTGGTGTCTCCCTGGACCCGAAATCCCAGTGGTATGGGTGGTGCCCACAGTAGGTACGCAGAACACCTACTATGTGGCAAGCACAGTGCTGGCCTCAGGTGCAGTAAGGACAAACCAGGCTTGGTGCTTGACTTTGAGTGTGCTGAGTTCACCACAGATTGCTGGGTTGGGACTCCAACCTGGCTGGGAGTCAGGAAAGGCTTCCTGGAGGAGGTGACATTGACAGGAGGCTGGAGGAGGGGTCGTGTAGGGGACAGCCCAGCGGTGGGGGAAGGGCAGTGGGAAGTCGGGAGCTTCCCAGGCGGGAGGGAGCAGGGCCGTCTGAGGAGCAGACAGGTGGCCAGGAACAGTCTCCGGGGCTGACCTAGCACAGTGTGTTAAGACATCAGGCTGTCAGCTTTCTTTTTTTTCTGTGTGTGGGGTCTTTCTCGGGACAGGTGTCTTTGGAGTGACTCTGAAACATTAGGGCTTCTGCAGCCTGTCACTGGGCAGCCTTCTGTGAGGGCTTCACGGAGGAGGTGGCAGCACCAGGGCTTCAGCTGCGTTGGTTTAATTGTTTCACCTGGACTCACTGCCGGGCCTGAGACAGGAGCAGAAGCAGGCGCGGCCCCGCCAGGCAGCCGGAGGCCCAGAGAGCGCCTGCTCACGGTCACGGTCACGGTCACGGTCACGGTCACGGCAGCGCAGTAGCGGAGGGAGGGAATGACAGCCTTCCAGGTGGAGGACAGGGAAGAGGTGGCCAGAGGTTACCCCAAGAAGGAGGGCCTGCCAGAGCGGGGCTCTGAGCCTGGTGGGAGGCAGCGGGAAAGGGGATGGAAATGTTCTAGAGAGGCACAGGCAAGAACAAGGGCCTGAGAGTGTGGGGGGACATCTGGACAAAGGGGGGTGTGAAGGACATTCCAGGCGGGGACCCAGCATGAGCCAGTCCGGGAGGCGGGCAGTGTGAGCCTCGCTGGGCAGCGGCTTGGCCGGCGTGGGACAGGAGGAAGGAAGCTGGAAGAGCCCGAGGTCTCAGCGGGCCGGGTCAGGGGACGATGGCCTGTGTGGATGACCTCAGTGAGGAGACACAGATGCTGCCCCCAGCCCTCAGGGACAGAGGTGGGGGCGTCTGTGGGAGCACCGCTGTGGCACGAGGCAGTGAGCACTGGCTTCCCACCTGGCTCGGTCACTCGTTGGCTGTGTGGCCTTGAGCAAGTCACTCTGCTGCTCTGGTCCCGGTTTTCTCTTCCAGAGCAGGAGGAACGAGCATCTTTTCCTCAAGGATGTGTGTAGTAAAAATGCTGTTGAATTGAATGTTTTAAAAATTTGGCAGCTTGCCCAGCCAGTGTGGCTCAGTGGTTGAGCATCGACCCACGCACCAAGAGGTCTCTGGTTCGATTCCTGGTCAGGGCATATGCCCAGGTTGTGGGCCCGATCCCCAGTGGGGGGCATGCAGGAGGCGGCCAATCGATGTTCTTTCTCATCGATGTTTCTATCTCTCTCTCTCTCCTTTCCTCTCTCTCTAAAATCAATAAAGAAAAAATTTTTCTTTTTTCTTTTTTCTTTTTTTATTTTTTTTATCCTCACCCGAGGATATTTTTCCATTTTTTGTACAGATAGAGTGGGAGGGAGAGAGAGGAAGGAGAGAGAGAGAGAAACATCGACGTGAAGGGACACATCGAGTGGCTGCCACCCGCACGACCAACCAGGGCCGGGGACAAACTGCAACCGAAGTACGTGCCCTTAGCGGGAACCGAACCTGGGTCTCTCCGGACCGCAGGCCGACGCTCTAACCGCTGAGCCAAACTGGCCAGGGCAAATTTTTCTTTTTTAAATTTGGCAGCTCATTTGAGTGCCCTGGGGCCCCTCCAGCGCTGGCAGGGAGGTTTCTGCAGTTGGCACTGGTGCCCCGCGCTCTCCCTTCGGCATGTGTCTTTCCAGGATGTGCCAGTGGCGTCTCCCCAAACCCCCTGTGACTGACAGCTTTCAGGGTGCCCTGAGGCTGGGTTGGAAAACCAGGGAGTGAACACCCCAGGACATGCCTCTGCCAGTGGAAGATGGAGATGGGGGCTGATACCCCAGCTCCTGCCCCCTCTTGGGGGTGCCCTGAGCATGGCCCATGCCGTCGCCCAGGTGGCCCTGGCTGCCCCGTGCCCCCCTGGCCACAGCTCACTGGCTTGCCCTGTGTGTGCGGCCCCTTCCTCGTCTCCTCCCCAATGCCCTCCATGCTGCCAGCTCACTGCCCACGTAAACCACTGGCACTGCCTCCTCCTCACAGGGTTGCTTCTGGGGGACCCCCCTAACACAGGGATAAACGCTTGTTCAGGACATACGGGGTGACCGGCCTCAATGTCCAGCATAGGAGGTGGGTAAATGTATTCTGAGCAAACATGGGAGGAAATATTATACAGCCTTGAAAAATCGCCTCTCCAAATGATAGGTGAGGGCAGAAACATGATGGAGACAGTGTTTTCCTCTTTATACTTACCTGAGTTTAACACTTTTTATGTTGTAAATCAATAATGGAAAAAAAAGAGAAGAAAACCTAATTCACCGTACAGCGCTGTGTGACTTTGGTCCTGTTGCAGGCCCTCTCTGGGTCCAGCCTGTACCATGAAACACTTAGGGCTGGACCGGAGGGCCCTGGGCTCGGGCTGGAGACTGACCCTCTGTCTTGCCTGCTCCCACAGGTTTGACAACTACTCAGCTAACGTGATGGTGGACAGCAAGCCGGTGAACCTCGGGCTGTGGGACACCGCCGGGCAGGAGGACTATGACCGCCTGCGGCCGCTCTCCTACCCGCAGACAGTGAGCTCCCTGCACCTTTCCTCTGCTGCCTCTGCCTGCCCTGTCCCCTCTGCGTGCGGTGCCCTCGGGCCAGTTTGGCCTGGTGAACTCTGACCCCCCCTTAAGGCCCAGCTACAGGACTCTGCCTTGTCCGCCCCAGGCACAGCCAGGGACTCCTCCTGCTGCCCCCAGCCCTCCATCAGCCCCAGTTACCACTCTGCCCTCCTCCCAGTCCCACCCCCATGGGCTCTGTACCACTGGCTCCCTGTGGGTGGGCAGGCAGACCCAGGATGGGGTTCAATGGGGAGCCCGGGACAGTGGACCCTGGGTGTGCTGGGTGAGGGGAGAAGAGACCAGGAAAGCCTGCAGGTGGCTCTGTGGTTGCTGGGCAACCACCACTCCCTGTCCCCTCCATCCTGACCCCCCTCCCGGGCTGGTACCCAGACGGTGGGGTCCGTGAGTGTCTGGTCAGGAGTCAGGTTCTGGAGCTCCCCTGTGGCCTCCTCTCCCCTCGGCGGGCGGGGGCAGCCTGCTGCAGGGCGCTGTGTGAGCGGGAGCCACTGAGGACAGCCAGGGCCTGGGAAGCTGGGGTGGACGGGCCGCAGCCTGCTGCAGGGCGCTGTGTGAGCGGGAGCCACCGAGCACAGCCGGGGCCTGGGAAGCTGGGGTGGACGGGGGCAGCCTGCTGCAGGGCGCTGTGTGAGCGGGAGCCGCTGAGGACAGCCCGGGCCTGGGAAGCTGGGGTGGACGGGGGCAGCCTGCTGCAGGGCGCTGTGTGAGCGGGAGCCGCTGAGGACAGCCCGGGCCTGGGAAGCTGGGGTGGACGGGGGCAGCCTGCTGCAGGGCGCTGTGTGAGCGGGAGCCGCTGAGGACAGCCCGGGCCTGGGAAGCTGGGGTGGGCGGGGGCAGCCTGCTGCAGGGCGCTGTGTGAGCGGGAGCCACCGAGCACAGCCGGGGCCTGGGAAGCTGGGGTGGGCGGGGGCAGCCTGCTGCAGGGCGCTGTGTGAGCGGGAGCCGCTGAGGACAGCCCGGGCCTGGGAAGCTGGGGTGGACGGGGGCAGCCTGCTGCAGGGCGCTGTGTGAGCGGGAGCCGCTGAGGACAGCCCGGGCCTGGGAAGCTGGGGTGGACGGGGGCAGCCTGCTGCAGGGCGCTGTGTGAGCGGGAGCCGCTGAGGACAGCCCGGGCCTGGGAAGCTGGGGTGGGCGGGGGCAGCCTGCTGCAGGGCGCTGTGTGAGCGGGAGCCGCTGAGGACAGCCCGGGCCTGGGAAGCTGGGGTGGACGGGGGCAGCCTGCTGCAGGGTGCTGTGTGAGCGGGAGCCGCTGAGGACAGCCCGGGCCTGGGGAGCTGGGGTGGACGGGGGCAGCCTGCTGCAGGGCGCTGTGTGAGCGGGAGCCACCGAGCACAGCCGGGGCCTGGGAAGCTGGGGTGGACGGGGGCAGCCTGCTGCAGGGCGCTGTGTGAGCGGGAGCCGCCGAGGACAGCCCGGGCCTGGGAAGCTGGGGTGGACGGGGGCAGCCTGCTGCAGGGCGCTGTGTGAGCGGGAGCCGCCGAGGACAGCCGGGGCCTGGGAAGCTGGGGTGGGCGGGGGCAGCCTGCTGCAGGGCGCTGTGTGAGCGGGAGCCGCCGAGGACAGCCCGGGCCTGGGAAGCTGGGGTGGGCGGGGGCAGCCTGCTGCAGGGCGCTGTGTGAGCGGGAGCCGCTGAGGACAGCCCGGGCCTGGGAAGCTGGGGTGGGCGGGGGCAGCCTGCTGCAGGGCGCTGTGTGAGCGGGAGCCGCTGAGGACAGCCGGGGCCTGGGAAGCTGGGGTGGACGGGGGCAGCCTGCTGCAGGGCGCTGTGTGAGCGGGAGCCGCCGAGGACAGCCGGGGCCTGGGAAGCTGGGGTGGACGGGGGCAGCCTGCTGCAGGGCGCTGTGTGAGCGGGAGGCACCGAGGACAGCCGGGCCTGGGAAGCTGGGGTGGACGGGCAGCAGCCTGCTGCAGGGCGCTGTGTGAGCGGGAGGCACCGAGGACAGCCGGGGCCTGGGAAGCTGGGGTGGACGGGCAGCAGCCTGCTGGTAGGGTGGCAGGCACCCCTGCTCTGCTAGGCCTAACCCGCAGTGCCCCCGGGGCTGGCCCACTGCTTCGTGCTGCCAGGTGCGTGGGGGGCGGGAGGGCGCAGCGGGGACCCCAGCCTCCCTTCGCTCTAACGCCTGCCTGCTGTGTTCCTAGGATGTCTTCCTCATCTGCTTCTCCCTCGTCAGCCCAGCCTCCTATGAGAATGTCCGCGCCAAGGTGAGCTGGGCAGAGCAGGGCCTGGGAGCCCAGGGGCTTGTGGACAGGTGGCCCCAAGGAAAGGAAGGAGGGAAGGAGGGACCTGCAACTTGAAGCCTGTTCCTTGGGCAGCAGAGGGTATGGGCAGAGGGTCCCCAGCACCAACCAGGGCCTGGGGACTCAGGGGGTGAGACTTGGAGCCTCAGAGGGGCTGGGACTGTCAGCTGTGTTGTCTGCCCTCTAAAACCTTGTCCTCTCTCCTCCCTGCACACCCTCACCCCCGCCTCTTATCTCTGCACAAAATCGTGCCTCCTCCTTCCTGCAACCACGCGCCTCCTCCTCTCACACCCTCCTGCCTGCCTCTTTCTCCTCACAACTCGGTGCCTGCTTCTCCCCACTCTGTGCCCCTTGCTTCCTACACAATCTCGTGCCCCCTCCCCTTGTCCCGCACAATCTCGTGACCCCTCCCCTTGTCCCGCACAATCTCGGGCCCCCTCCCCCGCACAATCTCGTGCCCCCTCCCCTTGTCCCACACAATCTCGTGCCCCTCCCCTTGTCCCGCACAATCTCGTGCCCCCTCCCCTGTCCCGCACAATCTCGTGCCCCCTTTTGTCCTCCCACCTGTCCAGTGGTTTCCTGAGGTTCGGCACCACTGCCCCAGCACACCCATCATCCTGGTGGGCACCAAGCTGGACCTGCGGGATGACAAGGACACTATCGAGAAGCTGAAGGAGAAGAAACTGGCACCTATTACCTACCCACAGGGCTTGGCACTAGCCAAGGAAATTGGTACGGAGCTTGGGCTCAGAGAAAGGAGCTAGATGCAGGCATGGGCTCCAGGGCCCGCTATGCGGTTCAAACCCTGGCTGTGCTGGGCACTAGCTGTGTGACCCTGGACCAGTCACTTAGCATCTCTGTGCCTGTTTCCCCATCAGTAAAACCTGGCCACAGTCATAGTTCTGGGCAGTTGGGAGAATTACAGTAATTCACACTCATGAAGCACTCAGAGCAGTGCCGCACATGGGAACCAGTCTGTGTTAACTATTATTGGTAGTATAATCCATAATCAGATTTTGACATGAAGTGTGTTTTGCACACAGAAGCAGGGATGGAGCAGGGTGTGCTGTGGCTGCTTAGAGCACAAGCAGCCAATCAGGTTTGGGCCTCTGGGAAGGCTCCCTGGAGGAGGTGCTTCTGCCTCGGGTTTGAAGGGTGAGGCCTTCCCTCTGTCTCCTCGCCTCCCTCTCCCTGCCCCCAGACTTCTCAGCCCAACTCTCCGCCGCCTGATCTCTGCACCCGAGAAGTAAAGTATCGTTTTAAAGGTCACACGGCTGGTGGGGGGCAGAACTGGGACTTGAACACAGGGCAGCAAATTGCTGGCTTAGCGGCGTCCTCGCGGTGGCTCAGGGCTGCCTGCACCAGGGAGGGGCTGACGGAGGGCTCCGGCCTCTCCTGTGGTGTTGGGACCTGCTGTCTGGTCAGGTCCGCCCTGCCTGGAGCCCAGTGGGCCTGGCCACTCCGAGCAGTGGCCCAGCTATCCAAGGTGCTCTGCTCACCCCAGGGCCTGAGGCCGAGGACCTGGCCCCCACTCAGTCGGGCCACCTCACCCTGTCCCTGCCTCAGCCCACTGCTCTTCCTTCCGCCGGAACTGGGAGGGCCCTGGGGACTCACATCTCTGCACAGGAAGAGAAACCGCAGCTGCCACCTCCCCCTCCCCGTGACGAGCCGAGTGACATGGCCATCTCCCCTGGGGGACCTCAGCCCCGCTGAGCCCTGGGTCCCACGCCCCGTCCTGGGCTCTGGCTCCCGGCCCACGTGTCTGTCCTCCCGTGTACCAGGACCGAGCCCCTGCCTTCTCCTCTTTCTGACCAGCCTGCCCCTGGGCCCTTCTGCCCAAGACGACTGTCCCGCCTGCAGGCCACCCTCTCCCTTTGGAGCACGTGCTTTGGGAGAGGAAGGGGCCGAAAAGCCTGGCAGCGGGTCCCGGTGCTGGCGCTGACCGTCTGTGTGACCTGGAGCCTGTGGCTTCTCCCTGGGCCTCAGTCTCCCCACCTGCCCAAGCTGGCCCACAGAGTTGCTGAGTCCTTTCCCCTCTGGAAGGACATGACCTGGGGGTCCTGTCTGGGCGTCTAGCCAATCCCTGCTGGAGCTGACCCCCGGTGGTGGAGGGGCAGAGGCTGGCCCAGGCCAAGGGGAGAGGCCTTGGGGGGTGCACAGCTGATGAGGACGGCAGCAGCCTCTGCCTGCCTGGCCTCCTCCCCAGCCCTGGAGTGATGGGGCCGCTCCACCCCCGAGGATACTCCCAGCTGAGAGAGATGGAGCCCTTCGTGGGCGCCGGCCCACACGGGTCCCCTCTTCTGTCTCAGGGCAACTACAAAGGGGGCTTCTTGCGGAAGGAGCTGGGGGTTCCTCACGTCAGGGAAACGGGGCTCTAGGGGACATGGATCTCACACGAGAGGTTCCTTCTAGAAGGTCGTGGAGCACAGCCCAGGCACGGGCTCGGCCTGCCCGTGCTGCTGTCTGTGCCCCCGGCTCCAGGCCTGAGGGTCCCGGGGGAGGGGGCGTCCCCTCGTGGGCAGGGAAGGGGTCTCCATGTCCCCTTCCTCTCGCTCCGCTCCTCGGGGTGGCGTGTGCCTGGACAAATGGCCCCCCTCTAGGAGCTCATTGTCCTCCTTTTTGAAATGGGGTGATGCTAAGGGTCAGATGACATCAAAGGTCCTGGAGGGGCCGTGAGTGCCGCGGGCCCACGGGAAAGCGTGGGGGCGGGGGTGGCTATTTTCTAGAAGAAACTGAGTCGTGGAGAGATTCGGTCACAGGCTTGAGCCCTTTTCTTCCTAGAAAAGTATCAAAATGCCTACCTCCCTTCTACAGATTAAAGGCTCAGGTGTCCCAGAAAGACACCGCCCTGCTCCTGGGGTCTCACCCCTCACACGGAACTCGGGCTCCCCTCCAGGCAGAGCAGGCAGGCAGAGTTGGACCCCTGCTCTGAGTGACACAGCCTCAGGCCCTTGTGTGTTTTGGGGGGGGTTGCCCAGGCCCCTCCTCTGACCTAGGCCTCTGCTCTCTCGCTGCCTCACCTCAGATTCGGTGAAATACCTGGAGTGCTCGGCCCTCACCCAGCGGGGCTTGAAAACGGTCTTTGACGAGGCCATCCGGGCGGTCCTGTGTCCCCAGCCCACACGGCCACAGAAGCGCCCCTGCAGCATCCTCTAGGGGTAAGAGCCCCTCCCCCACGGCTTCAAGCCCCCCCCCAGCAGTGGCCCTCAGTTTCACTGGGAGTGGTTTTAGACCAGGACAGAAGGGAAGAAGCGAGTGGCCTCAGTTTCCCCATTTGCCTGAGCCAGTCCAGCTCGGTGAGCCCAGTTGCCAGAAGGAAGGTATGAGACATGCCAGGTACCCTGAACCAAGGCAGGGGGGTCCTGAGCTCCCACCCTGCTCTCCCTGCAGGAGGGCGGGGGAGAGGAGGGGTGAAGATGCCTTGGCCCCGCCCCCAGGAGAGCCCCGCCCAGCCAGGGAGACCCGACACCCACCGAAGGGGTGGAGGCAGGGAAGGCAGAGCGGAGACTGCGGGGCAGAGGAGGGCAGAGAGGGCTTGCTGTGGAGGAGGGGCGGGCAGCCCTGATGGGAGGGACAGCCGGAACCAACGCTGGCCAGGGGCATGAGCTGTGATCCAGGACAGCCGTGAGCTGGCTGTAGGTCCTGCTTGTCTCAGATTGTCACCCCCTGCCTGTCTCTCTTCCAGGTTGTCCCAACCCTCCCAGCCAGATGGTTCTGACCCTCCAGGGCCCCCACCCGAAGCCTGATGGCACCCCAGCTGGCCATGCTGTCCCCTTCCTGTGGCGTTTCTTAGTAGATGGTGCAGAGCTTGGTCGCTCGTCTTCTCTGTGCTGGAGGCCCCCACGAGTCCGAAGGTGTGAATCTGCAGGTGCTGTGTCCCAATCCCCTCATGCTCTTGCCTTCCCAGGGGCCAGAGGGGAGCCCCAGGGCCAATAAGCCACCCTTGCATTCCTGTGGTGTGCCCTCGGCTGCATATGGCAGCGACTACCCATTTATCCTAGCCCCACCCGATGCCTGAACCTCCTCTGGAAACTCGGCCAGATGGTCGCTGGCCACCACTTGTATATCTCCAGGGACGGGCCTCTCGCTCCCCGCTGAGGCAGTCTACCGCAATACTGATGGTCCTGCTTGTCTGAAAGTCCTTCTGCTGTGCTAAAATGTGTGTCTTGGAAGTCTGTCCCTCTGGTCTTAATTCTCCATGGGGACGACATAAAGCAAATCAGATGTTTAAAATCTCTGTGGGCATCTGCCCAGCCGACCGAAAGCCTGGGTCCCGCTGACTCCTGCCTTCTCTCCAGTCCTTCTGCCCCACCCACAGGACCCTGAGCTACATTTACCTGGGAGTTACCCGACGCTGCTAGCCAGGACTTCTGCTATTGCGAACAGAAAACCCAATTCAATCTGCTTAAGTAGAAAATAAATGTATCGATTCAAGTTTGGAAACTGACTTCAGGTGCAGCGTGATCGAGAGGGCTTGGATGACGTCATCAGGGCTCACTTTCCTGTACCTCTTTGCTTTGCCTTCTGCTCTCTGGGTCATTCTCAGGAAGGTGACTCTCAGGGCTTCATTCTTTCAGGTTCAACTTCAGCAAAAAAGAACAAGTGCTTGCCCCAGACCAAGTTCTAATTGAGATTTACTCTGATTGGATCAGCTTAGGTCTTGAGTCTCTTTTCAATCAATCAGATTTGGTAGGGAGCTGCTGTGCTCTGATTGGCCCAGCCTGGACCACTTGACAGCTAGAGTAAGGAGTGGAGGTGCCTTGTCCAACCACAGGCGCCAGGGTGGAGGGGTTGGTCCCCAAATGGAGATTGAAAGCCTTGCTGGAATTTGGGAATATGGGTGTCGGGCAGCTGGAAACCCACAACTTCTACTACTGGAGGACACAGGAAGGTGTCCCAAGAGCTTAAGGAAGCAATGACAGTCCCCTCGGTCACTAAGCAAAGGGGAATTTATTTAAAAGAAAGATGGGGCTGTGTAAAGATTGAAGAAGTTTGTCCTGGCCGGTTTGGCTCAGAGTTTAGAGCGCAGGCCCGCGGACCAGAGAGTCCCGGGTTTGGTTCCCGCTAAGGGCATGCGCCTCCGTTGCGGTTTGTCCCCGGCCGCAGTTGGGGTCGTGTGGGTGGCAACCACTTGATGTGTCTCTATCACGTCAACATTTCTCTCTCTCTTTTCCTCCCTCTCTCCCTCCCGCTCTATCTGAAGATAAATGCAAAATTGTCCTCGGGTGAGGATAAAAAAATAAATTTAAAAGAAGTAATAAAGATGGAAGAAATTCATCCCTTAAGCACAGCAGTACCTGGTAAGGAGTTGGTCTGTTTGGTGTTTGCCAACTCACAAGGCCAGACTTTCCACTCCTGGGGACAATCACACGTTCGTATCTAAACTTCATTCATTCAGCACAGCGATTGAGCACTCACTCTGTGCCAGCGACTGTTCTGGGTTCGGGGGTGGGGGGTGTCCAGGTGCGGGGATCCAGGAGTACACACGCGTTCCTGACCTAGACAGCTGATGCCCTAGAAAGGCTAAAATAAAGGGGAAAAAAAGATTTAAAAAAACCCATCCCTGATGGCGCAGAGTCCCCAGTTCCCAGCCTGGTGAAGTGTGATGAGTTTCTACTTTCTTCTCTCCCAGAGCTCCCGGCCACCCACACTGCCCCCAGCCCTGAAGTTCTGAGGCTGGGCCCTCTAACACCCTGGCCTCCCAGGAGCCTCGCCCTCTAGAAAGGAACTGAGTGCAGGGGGAACCCCCTGGCCTTTAATAGTTTCAGCTCAGACAAGTGTGTTATGTTTTTAAAGTCACTTCTCTTATGAAACAAAAAATCCACATTAAAACCAACACACGACACAAACACAGGTGTGGTGGGTCGGGGCCCACACCGGAATCTCCGATGTCGAAAAGCCCCATGCTGCCCCCTCCCCTAGGCCGGGGTCCGAGGGGAGTTCTTTCTGCTTCCTGCTCTTCCTGGAGCCTCTGGATTCAGACCTGTCCTGGGGCCCGTGTCCCTGAGGCCTGGCCACACCTCAGATGGCAGCCTCACCTCCGCAGAGCCGTCCTTTCAGCCAGGCCTTTGCAGCCCATCTGGTGCCCTCTCCTCGAAAAATTTCCTCTGCTCCTCGAACTTCCCTGCATGCCTACCCCCGTGTCAGTACGTAAGTTCTCTCACCATTGCGGGGTCTCACCTAGCACATATTATCTCATTTAGTCCGCCTAGTAGCTCTCCAAGGTCGGTCCTAGCAGCTCTTTTATGCAGAGAAGGAAATGGAGGCACAGGAGTTAGAGCTCAACTCACTCGGACCAGCACTCTGCTTTTCCACTCTGCCAGGCGCCCATGCTCCTTGTCATCAGAAGCTAGTTTTGTGCAGAGCAGCAATGCAGCGAACCTCGAACAAACATAATTGTTTTCCCCGCCTGCTTTGCAGCTGGTTTCCAAGATTGCCCAATTCTGGTCAAGACATAAGTGAAAATCCGCTGGGGAGGTGGCATCTGTGGACATTTTTGTTTTCTTCCATAAAAAAAATGATAAGAGCCCTGGCTGGTTTGGCTCAGCAGTTAGAGTGTTGGCCTGCGGTCCGGAGAGACCCCGGTTCGGTTCCTGCTAAGGGCATGTACTTCGGTTGCAGTTTGTCCCCGGCCCTGGTTGGTCGTGTGGGTGGCAGCCACTCGATGTGTCCCTTTCACATCGATGTTTCTCTCTCTCTCTCTCTCTCTTCCTCTCTCTCCCTCCCACTCTATCTGTACAACAAATGGAAAAATGTCCTCGGGTGAGGATAAAAAAAAAAAAAAAATGATAAGACCTCGCTGGCAATGCCCCTTGTCCTGTCCTGTTCCCTGTCTTGGACACTGATGAGATGTCCGGAACTGGAGCAGCCATCTTGCAAACGTGAAGCCAGCAGCATAAAGATTCATACTACCATGTTAAGGATAGAGGAGCAGAGAGAGAAAAAGAGTCTGGATCCTCGACAACTTTGATGGGCAGCTGAACCAGTGCCAATGGCTGCTTTGTGGTGGGAACAGAATGAAAATGAAACCACCTGTCTGTTCACGCGTGGTGGGCCAGGCCTTCTTTAGCTGACAGCGTGTGTTTTTGAGGTCTCAGGACTGCCAGCCCCATGCTCTTTCCACCGTATCATGGTGCCCGGCAGTCACTGAACATGGGGAGAGTCACTTGTTTTTGAGCGGCAGACTGGCTGAGGACTTTAGACAGGAAAGAAAAACCTGTTTTGAAACAGGAAAAACTGTTGGTTGTGGGCAGGAGCTGACACCATGGTGGTGTTCACTCATTCGACAGCGATCGCTCCCAAGCACCCACCCAGTCTGGGGCATCAGACTTGGCCCCATATCATGCAGTGATTGCCTGGCGGGTAGAAAGCACTGGCCAATAAGACTACTTCCCTTGGGGCTGTCCATCACAGAGCCTGGCTGCTCCCGTTCCCTCACCCCCAGCCGGGACCAGTCTGCTCCCCATTCCTGTTAAACCCGTCTCCTTATCTGGCCCACTGCCATTCCCTGTCTGGGCCTTGCATCTCCTTCATGGACAGTTCAGCCTTTTCATTGGCATCCCAGCCTCCGCTACCTGCTTATACTCCAACCTCCACCAGCAACCTGAGGGATCTTCCTCATTTACACACATGACTGTGCTTCTCAGATGCCTTCAAAAATGTTATACAGCATCGACTCAATCAGGCATGTGATCGTTCAGCAAATAGTTACTGAGGCTGTGTGCCGAACGCAGGGTTTGAGGGCAGGTCGAGCGCGGGCCTGTTCTCAGGAGCTCACAGCCCGATGGGGAGCTGCCGAACCTTCAGCGAGCCCAGGGAAATGTCCCTTCTGCTTCGATGGGTCACCATGACCCTAGCAAGTACCTGGTAGACACTGGATACACAGCGGGCCCCGCTTGCCAGCCATCGAGCCGCCAGTTGTGGGCGTGAGCCATCCTGGGTGTGCCAGCCCAGCTGACTGCAGCCCCCGCCAGCAACACGTGGAGCAGAAGAACCACCCAGCTGAGCCCAGCTGACCGCAGAATCGTGGGAGATGACAAAATGATATACTGAAACAATTTTCAATGTTTTCAACAATGTTTACCAACTTTTTGGAGCCCAAGTCCCTGCTCTTTTTTAAATTTTTGTAAAATGTATTTGAGCCAATCATAGGATATGCCTGGAAGCAAGATCTCCACAGACTGAGAAACATGATCCTGGCTCTTTTCCTTTCATCGTTGACCTCTGCTCCCTGTCCTCTTTACCCTCCCGTCACCCAGAACACGTTCACCTCTAGGGACATCTGACTCCATCCAGGCCTTGTGGGATATGGGGAGTAGGGCAGGGTAGGCTCTGGGGAGGGAGATAAGAATCTAGGTGGTTCTAGAAGGCTCCTGAAGGCCTCAAGGGAGGCGAAATGATGAGCTGTCATCTGTATAATGTGAAGTTTATTCCCTCAGTTCCCATGTACTAACATGTGCTCTGTGCCACACTGTGCCCGGGGCTGAAAGTGAAGAGAAGGATTGCGACCCAGCCTTCTGCTCCCCAGGGGCTCAGAGGCCAGTGGGAGACATGGGCGTGCAAATCAACACCCGACACGTGGTCTGGTTCACATACCACAGGGGTGTGTGTACTCAGTGAAGAGAGGAAGAGACTGGTCTCAAGGTGCCAAGGTAGAGATTTCCGCTCCCCGCTGAAAAGCAGCCACACGGATGAGAACACGAAACAGAAACACAAACTCATCTTCAAAGAAACCGGGAGACACCTGTGACCCCAAACCACAGCACCCAGGCAGGAGAGCAGATGGAGGAGTGGTAAATGATTGAACAGAGCCCTGGGAAGGCAAACCTAACTGCGGGGTGGGAGGGGCGGGTGGGAGTGGAGCCGGAGGAGATGCAAACTCCGGCCTCGCAGAACCCCGGGGAGGCTCCGAGTCCAGGCCCAGACGCCACAGGCCGCTAAGCAGGAGGCTGAAAACGCAGGGTGGTTTGAAGTCTGTTTAAGGAGCAGTTAGACGCCAGGTCTCCCCCTTCACCGTGCAGCCCGGCGACCATTCCTCTCTAAACCTGGGCAGGAAAAATCCAGCCACAGCTCTGGACCCAAAGGCCCCTGGCTACTGGCTACGGAGCAGGTAGGGGTGAGACCCCAGACTGGTTACTGGGGATGTGGGAGAGTGGATGATGCTTAGCAGATAATCACTCCCATCCCCCACCCCTACCTCCAGGGCACAGGCGTAATTTCCCTCACCACCGATGCAGCCTGGGCCATGTGACTCGCTTTTGGCCAATGGGTTGTTAGCACAAGCATCACAAGGAGAGTCCTGAGTGTGTTTCGCCCTTGGGCTTGCTCTCTTGTGCTGACAAAAGAATATGTCCTGGTAAGGCCACTGGCTCAGAGTAGAAAAGAAACATGGAGCAGCACCCCTGGGAACGGCTGCTGTAGAAGGGGGTTAAGTAACCCCATCCTTGAAGCACCCTATGCAGTAGGTATTGAAGATGAGGGACTGAGGGTCAGAGAGGTTAAGTCACATATCCAAGATCACACAGCCAGTAGACGGTGAAGCTGAGATTCAACCCCAGCAGGACCCACCAGGGACTGATGAGCCAGAGGACACCCTTAATGGGGACACCAGTGACAAAGCCCCAGGGGTTGGGCTGGGAAGGTATTTCTGCTCATCTCGTCATTTGAGAGCACAGACCTCTGCGTCTGTAGCTGAGGGCCCCACCCTGCACTGTGGCTGGCTCTGGCTGGGCACTATGTCGGGGAGGAGGGCAGAGGCATGGGTTCTGTCCTGGCACTCAGGGATGGGAGGAGCCTGGGCCCCCAGCTCCGGAAAACCACCTGTCTGATGGTGGAGGCACACTTGTTGGACTTGGGGGAGCCCTCCGGTCTGAGCCAGGGAGACATGGCCCTGGGTTTGAGAGGGCCAGGGTGTGATTGCCCTGTCTTGGGGACGGGGGCCAGGCAGCCCCTCCAGGTTACTAGGTGGACGGGAGACAGACACCGAGGTGACAGGTCC